AATATTAAAAAATTATTTTTTAATACATTAAAAGTTAACTATTTAATTTTACAATGGTTTGAACCTAATTAAAGATTTTAAATTAATGAGTACTTTAAAAAAAAATTACAAGTGAAGGAAGCTAGAGACTCCCCTACATCCAAAATTCCAAACCAACATTTTCCAAGTTCTTCGATTATACTCTGAGATTGGACTGAACCTGGTCCAGACTAAAGGCTGGCTCAGGCTGAAAGTACGCTGAGTGGATTGAATTCGGTCCAGAGTCTCCAGACTAAAGCCTGCAACTAATGAAACCGGCCCGTGTTCTTCTTTTTTTTTTTTTTTTCTTCGGTGTAACCCGGTCCATGTTTTTTATAATCTCTCCGCTGTGCTGTTCTACACTTCTACTTCTACTTATCTTGCCCTCCCAGTACGCCGGGCGCAGATGGAACACTGAAAATGAGTCTCCAAACGGCCGTCTCTACTCCATTTCATCTATCCTCATGCTCCGGTTACAGCCTCAATTTCAATCCTCTTTTCTTCCCCAACCGGCATCGTTCTTGCACCTGGCGTTTCAACCTGGTCCAGCGTAGAAACTTTATGGTAACTAACCAACTAACTACCGTTTCTATTTCTATTTTCTCACTTTCTTTGTTCGTTTGGTTACCGAGAAAGTGAAGGAAAGCTAAACACTGTATTGTACGGAAAGAAGATGACGGGAAAAGAAGTTTGAAAATGTCAAGAGTGACCGATTTTTTAAGGCTCAGGATTACATGTAGAATTTTATGTGAATGCTGAACATATACTCCAGTTAGTTTCTGTTTACTCAACAGAGGACTTCCTGCAAGCCTTTTGTTCATTTTCTGGGGAAATATGGATCAAATTACTAGAGAATTGGTTTATATGGACTTGTTCAAGTGAATGCATAAATTAGTAGCGGAGTAATGCGGAACTCTCAAGTTCATATTTACGAATTCCTTATTAGTTAGTTGAGAGATTTTTTTTTTTTTTTCCTGTCACATTGTTAGTGATTTTACAATTTCTTCTTGTGTTTCAGTTTTTGCATCCGAGAATGGTGTTTTAACTTCTCCAGAGTTGGCAAAGTCTATTGAATTTGCTTACATTCTTGACTTAAAGTAATTGATAGGTTTGGTTTATTTAGTTGAAAATAAAGAGTTGCCAAAACCGTGTTTTTGACATCAGTGAGACAGTCTTTCGTGGTTTAAATAGTAATGTCTTTCTAATTGTGCTTTTGAGACTGCTGCATGCAATACTTTAGAATTTCACTTTACCTCATTTACATAGCTTTATGTGTATTCTGCGATGATGTTGATTGTGTTTATCTGATTCTTGGATGTTAGGTGGGAGTCTCAAGGATATTTCTGACCAAAGTTTGACTGGAGAACTGATCCTTCTGTCATATCAATGCCATCACCTAATGTTACTGGATCACTGCACATGGGGCGTGCAATGTTTGTAACTCTTGAGGTTAGGAAAATGGTTTCAAATCCTTTGTTCATGACTTTCATTTGTTGGATATATCCCCTTTTGTGTCTACAACCCTTGCATGATCTGTGGAGCCCTGAAATTTAAGATATCATATTGCACTAGAGGTGAAATACCTTATTTGATGCACCACTTTTGCACTTTTTTGAAAGCTCATATTCTTTCTTTGCTTTTTAGTATTTCTTTTCATGATAAGTTGTTTTTGTGTAATTTATCGATAGCACTTTGGTTTTTCTTTGTTCTGACTATTAATGCCACAATGGTAATCGGATAGTCAACAACTGAATGCATTTCTCCAGGTTTTTCCAAAAATTCATTTGTATGATGTTTTATTTATTTATTGGTACGCTTGATAGTTGAATTGGATACTGATGGATGAAGTGCGAGTATGCACTGAACTATTCCTTATAACTGTTTTATTTGCGTTACTTATTATGCTCAACATATTTTTTCTTAGCTTTTAGTCTTTTACTAATAAATTGGGGACTGTCTTACAGAATCTTGTGCTAGAGGGTAGACAACTTGTATTCATTAGACTATTGGATGTTTTAAGTCACTGAAATTACATATTGTGGTCTTCTGATGATGATGCGTTTCCTTTCCATTTACTTTTATTCATCTTCTTTGCTAGGATATCATGAGTAGGTACCATCGCATGAAGGGAAAATCAACGCTTTGGCTTCCTGGGACTGGTCATGGTTGTACTGGATGTTTTAAACCAACGCTCTGCGTTTCACACTTTCTTTAGGGACTGCTGGTCAGGTTTGTCTTGCCATGGATTGCTAAAATTATATCATTAAAGGATTGTGTCTGTTGAATAATGAAATGCTAACTGCAGTTCACATGATGCTTTCCCATTTTGCTGTAACCTATCTTATAAATGTTCTATCTGATCAGATAATTTCACTGGCATTTATTCTAGGATCTGAACTTATCTACTGAGAGGCTGACTGCTAACAAGGCCTTAATGAACAAATTATGGAATGCTGGCAAGTTTATTCTGCAGAATCTACCCAGGCAGGAAAATGTGTTTGATTGGGAAACTATGCTTGATTATAAGGTTTGTCTATTTGCTCTTTTACAAAGATCGCAAGATGGCATTATGTCATCAATGTTGAACCTAGCTATGCATCCATATTTATTTATCCAATAAGATGAGGGAAGAACACTTAGCATTTGTTGCCATATCATGTTTTCCACAAAATACGGAGCAATAAATCTGTTGATATTATATGCATTCAGCCCCACTTATCTTTTGCTACTGTTAAATGTTCAGCTTCCAAGAAGTTGGGCTTTATCCTATTATATAAATTTAGACAAATTATTTGCCTTTCAGTTTGACACAGAAGAGTCACTTCTCAAGCTACCCCTTTCAGAATGTTGGGTGGTAAGAAATATGACAAGGTGTAATGTCTTCCAATTCTTATATCCCCATGCTTAGGCACAGTTTTTAAAATTAATGGCACCATATTTTGTTTGTGAGAATGTAACTAAAATGATTAGTCGAATGACTCCATACATTTTCAGGTCTCAAAACTTCATATTCTCATTGATGTGGTCACAGAGAGTTATGACAAGTTTTTCTTTGGTGATGTTGGTAGAGAAATATAAGATTTCTTTTGGACTGACTTTGCCGACTGGTATGGTCAACTTTTTTAGTAATTTTTATTGAAATGCTTTTTATTGTCATATGTGGTTAATTTCTAGATAACTTGTCACTTTTACTGCTATGGAAACAAAACATTAAGCCTTAGGTTGAATTGTGATAGGGGAGAAGTAGACTACATGTATTAGGATAAAAGCATACAGTGCATTTAGTTTTCTTAAATTTTAGTTGGTAAAAGTTATTATATAAAAAAAATTCATGAATTATATTTTCAGTTATTTCTTTCAGTGATGTCTTTTCCCACTCTTATGTATCGTTTATCCCTTTGAAAGAAAAAGGGCTAGTGAATGTGTTTAGGGTTTCTGCTCTGCTGTCAATATTTCTATTGAATATTACTGACTAGTAAAAACTTTCATTATCCTTATGGTCTTTTTTTTTTCAAAAAAAAAAAAAAAATCATTTTTCAGGTATATTGAAGCCAGTAAAGCTTGCCTTTACCATTCTGGGAATAAAACAGTTGCTTTAGTGGCACAAGCAGTTCTCCTATATGTTTTTGAGAACATACTGAATTTGCTACATCCGTTTATGCCATTTGTAACTGTGGCACTGTGTCAGGTAATGGCCTCATAGCATCTCAACCTTTGTAAGTTTATAGAAATTCCTTAGAATATGATTTCCACTAAAAATGTATTGTATTCATAGCAACCCTGGCATAAAAAAGTACTCTTTGCTGATGGGCAAATGAAATAACTTTCAGTTTATAAATTAATTATGATGGGGTTTGTGCTTTACTTTTTTTCTTTGTTTATCTATATTTCCTTTAGAGGAAGTCTAGAAGTAGCTGCTTTAAATTTAAAGTATTGGTATAAACAAGTACATGTCATCTGTGTTAGAAGGACCACAGAAATCATTAGGCTAATTTTTCTTAATGAATTGCTTTCCTACTGAAACCATGTGAAGTTTATTGTTTTGTCCATTTCTTTATAGGCACTCCCAAAACGAATGACAGCTCTTATAGTATCTTCTCGGCCACACACTTCTCTTCCAAGGCGTGCAAACTCAATAAAAAAAGATTTGAAAATATATAAGCTTTGGTGAGTTCTAGATGTTGTTCATTGCTCAATAATTCCCAGTCATATTTTACTTACAGTTCAAAAAAATAAAAAATAAAAAAATTACCCTGTTCATTACTGCATAATCTTCTAGTCATAATTACCCAAGTAAAATAATTGCTGTTATCTGCCAATTTATTTGTTAGACTCGAGCAGTCTGAAATGCTAGAGCTGAGTACTCTGTTGAGCCGGCAAAGCGTATATCTGCATCTATTGTTGGAAGCAAAGAAGTTATCCAGCATATATCTGTGAGTATTTGTCTTACTCTTGTTAGTGGAAAAGTAAATCTTTCTAATCAGTTATTGCTTTGTAATCTGAAATTTCTAATAAATTAAAATCTTCAAACTCAGCTGCCATCTTTTGACAAGTTACTTTTTGTATTACTGTTACCGTATTTGATATCATTTTTGTTTTACGTGATTACCTTTTGGGTATTGCAAATTCAGATATCAGGGCAATTGGGTTGCATACCTCCGTGTTACATGGTGCTTGGCTTGCACATATTGCATGCAACACTATTGCCATTTTTGTGAGTATATCTTTTTATTGCTCGATGCAGAAAGAGAAGGATGTTTTGGCTCTGTTATCCAGGCTAGATCCACTGAATATCCAGTTTACAGATTCCCCTCCAGGCATGTTTACTGCAAATTTTTTATTTTGTATGGTCATTGGGCGAGGAAAGATGTTATATATTCTTTTGAATAATTATTACTTTCTTTGCTTTATTGAAATTAATTGATTTCTTGTAGATTATTTCAAATGCTTATTCTTTTGGATCTAAAGTGCCAGCACAATTGCAGGGGGATGCGACTCAGTCAGTCCACCTTGTTGCCACTGAGTTTGAGGCATATCTTCCCCTTTCTGATATGATTGATATTTCTGCTGAAGTTGAACACTTTTCCAAACGCCCGTCTAAAATGCAAACGGAGTATGAGGGACTTAAAGCTCGCCTCAATTCTCCAAGAGTACATTGTTCATTTATCCTTCATCACAGAAAGCAATGATGATTTCCATGCTGATGTTTTCCAAAATTTTATGTAGTGAAATGGTAAACATATAAAAATCACTGCTGGAACAGTAATAAACAAAACTAACACCTGATCAACCAATGTGTTCAGCCTTGCAAGTAAAATAAGGACCAATCTCACGGGCTTAAGTTGAGGACTAAGTAAGAGAGCTGAATTTGTCGGCTGAGATAGTGCAGGGAAGAGCTCAATGTTTCCCATGAATAGAAATGTTACTAGCTTTGCATGCACATGGTTGTTGTGATTCTTGTGAATAGTGATATCTAAAATATGAGGGATCTGGCAAGAACCACTCAACTTTTGCTAGGTTTATGCCAAAGTTGGTGGTAGGTTATGCATGCATTTATGTGTCCTCTTATGATTTCTATTTTTTTTCCCCTGCAGTTCATAGAAAAAGCTCCCGAGGATATTATTTGTGGGGTTCGAGAAAAAGCAGCTGAAGCAGAAGAGAAAACAAATCTTACCAAAAAACCGTTTGGCTTTCCTTAAATCAACTGTTTTGGTTTCAAAATAAACTTCATTTGTAGCTCCTTGGTGTTTCCTCAGAACCCAGCTTCTTGAGCTCGATCAGATCAATTTCCATTTCTGCAGAAGTTGCAGTTCATGCACTATAATTGAGAGAAATGGTTGTAAATCATGACATCGGCAGCAAGAAATAACCAGTCAATCTCAGCAGTGAGAAAGAAATGGTCCATTGATTTCCAGAAAGTAACTGCTTTTTGCCTGCAAGCTTCAATAGAAAGGTACAAGCACTACATTAATTGAATAATGAAGAATTCAAATACTATTTTTGCCTTTTGGTCCTTCCTCCGCTGAAGCTGCAAGAAAAGATTATGGTTATATAATGACGGTGTAACTGTTTCCAGCTTCTGCATCAGCCATCACAATTACAGCTACAATCTGGCTTGTCTTCTCTGCTTTCTTCTAAATACTGACTTTTCCACCGTCTTCTAGTGAATGTTACTGTCATGAACTTTAATGTTTATGAAAATTATGGGGATAGATCGATTTCCTGTAAATCTTTGCAAATGATCATAGGAACAAAAACCATAATCAAATACCTAAGCTAACAGATTATGTCTTCGAGATTACCATTTGTCCATTTTACATATAGAGAATGTGTAATAGCTAGTTTTCTCTTATGATTCTTCCCTCTCTGTTAAGTAGTTTTAGTTGTCAACTGATCATTACATGGAACTGAAACTACCTTGAATTTTGTTTCTATCCTTTTTAGCTCTGTATTAAAGTCATATCTTGCAGTAATTTCTCTGAAAAAGACAATAAGGAGAAAGGGCCGGCGTGCTTAGAATTTCTTTTCAGTTGCTTTTAACATTCACTAGCTAAGCTATGGTCTCAAGACTGGAAGGGCAGTGTGCTAGGTAATCACTAGACTTGAAATTTATATTACCGGCCCTTGCCCGCTAATGATTTTATAGAAAGGTGATGATCTCTTCTTTTTTAGGCTGGTAGTAAGCCTAAGAGTAAAAAATTTGTAACTTGAGTTAGAAATTTTATATTTAAATTTTAATAAAGTGTGAAAAAAAGTATTATTTTTTATTATATATTGTTAAATACCGACAAGGAATATTCTCTTAAACAATTTCATTTTTATTTTTTAGTTGGACAATTATATAATTAATACACGTAGGAGTGACTAATGAATGAGTGTATGATTAGTAGGTAGAACATGAAAAATTGAAGCTAAAGCAAAAACCCATGTTCCCTCACATTCACATGTCCTCTCTTCCATACTTTCTAAAATAATAAAAAACAAGTAAATGGAAATGGCGAAGAAGAAGATTCCAAACATCCGAACCAAACCGTTGAACAACCATAATGGAAACTGGAGAAAGTGAGTTTATGGCAGAACATGCTTGAGTTGACTAATCAAACTAACCGCAAAAAGACACGCCGTGTTTATCGCTCGGATTTTCTTTTGTGATTCCCCACATGCTTTTTTCGCTTTCTTTCTTCGTTTTCCCCCCTTTCCACGCCTTAAACGGTGCTTGTCTTGATTCCCATTTTTTCATTGATTGTATTGCATAATTTGTTTTCATGACTCACGAATTTCCTATATATGTCTCCCCCCGCCTTCCCCTTTTTATTCATCCCAAAAACATCCACAACCTTTCTACCTTTTTCTGTTTCTCTCAAGCAGTGTGACTTAATTGTGAGGGCAAGCAATTATGGCCACCCAACGCATTCCATTTCTTGCCCTCTCTCTGCTTCTTCTAATTGCTATTTCCAATGTGGCCGAGGTATGCACTAAACTATCCTAAAACTCTTACTTTCTGCTTTAAAAATCATGCAGTTAGCTTGCACCAGATTGTAAAATCTAGACTCTTGAATGAAACCGATGGTATAATAGTATTTACATGTTTGTGTTTTAGTACTAACACAAGACTTGTTTGTTTTGGATAGGCTGCCAGCAGCGGTAAACTTCAACCTTCAGGTGTGGATGTGCATAAATTAAGATTGTAAATGTTGTTTTGATTGGAAATTTCATGTTGAGGAAAAGAAATTGAAGTGATGAATTTTGTTAATATGTGTTGGGTTTGGTGCAGACTGCAAACCGAAATGTACATACCGTTGCTCAGCAACTTCGCACAAGAAGCCTTGCATGTTCTTCTGCCTCAAGTGCTGTGCCAAATGCCTCTGCGTTCCTCCAGGTACTTATGGCAACAGGCAGGTCTGCCCTTGCTACAACAACTGGAAGACCCAGGAAGGAAAACCCAAGTGCCCTTGATCACTTAATCAATTTCCTACTCTGTTTTCCAATCCTAGCTATATCTTGAATAAGCACACATTTTCAGTGCAAAATCAGCCAAATTACCCCTTCAGCCAATTCATCATTTGCTTTGATGTAATTCACCCATTTTCAGCTCACATGATGTAACTGTAACTTGATTTATTGCTTGGTTCCCATGAGAATTATAACTGACATGGGACCTCTGTTATTTGGGATTGTTCATTTACAAATACAAATAGTAATGTAATTTCCTTTCATTTTAAGATTGATTAATATTATTGTTCTTTCATTTTGGATTATGATAAGAAAAAGATGCACACAGAACACTCGCCCCATCTACTGGGTTTAGTTTCTTTTTACATTTGATCTCAAACGGTGGCAGCTGACTAAAGACTAGCCTAAGGACTGTTATCCCTCTCCTAATAGGGCAATAAAGAATGGTGGGACAAGCCTTGTAAGCGTCCTTTGGAACCCGCAAGGATGTTTTAAAGTAACAACTTTTAGTTCTAATTAGTTTGTAGAGACTTTTGTTTCCTCTGTGTTTTAGACTTGTATCCTTTGTGACACAGACAAGCACTGGCCAGTGCACTGGCAGCGGCTCCATCCATGTCGACTCTTGGCAATACAGGCATGTGAGAGCATCAAATGTGCTGGTTATTGTCTTACATATGGAAATAATGTCAATTTAATGTTTTGGAGGCTCCAAACAGAGATTAGTAAGACTGCAACCCTGCAATTGCTTCAGCAATTTATGGACTGAAGAAACAGTGGGAAATAGGTGAAGGAGATAGAGACACATATGAGAAAGGATTATGTATATTGAAAAACTATTTTGCAGTTTGAACAATATTGGACTACAAAACAATTATCTTTAAATTAGGAAGGTTCCCTAATATTAACTGCAAAGTAAAGAATTTTATATATCTAGAGAGTTGGACAATTTAAGGATGACTTAACTCATCATCAATAACTGATGGGCACAAGAATGCTAAGGTAGTATATTTTCAAAAAAAAAAAAGGATACTAAGGTAGTAAGAATCACACTGGGGCTATCAACCCATATGGTAAGCTTTTACCATTTGCCAATCTGTCTGCCTCCTTAATAAGGTTTGGTTAAATAGGTTTTTTTTTCTTCTTCTTCTAATAATAATAATTTGGATTATTGATTAAGGTTTGTTTTGTATAATGGTTAAAATTCAACAAATTATGGATAGTATGTAATAGATAATAGGAGTAGGCAACGGTTAGTACATTATAAGTAGCGAATAGCAAAAAATAGATATATGATAATAAATAATGAATTTGATTAATATAATTATTTAATTATATAATAATTAACAATTGTTATTCCAAATTAAATGATTAATAAGAACATGTTTAAAAACAATTAAGTGTATTTTTGTATTTTTATTATTAAATTTATTTAATTTATTAAAAAAATTATAATAGTGTACTTATAGTCTTATACACTAACTTTTATTTTTAATAAAAAAATATATTAATTTTAAATAAAGTATAAAAAATTTTAATTTTTTCATATAATTAGTAAATTTTGTTTATTAAGTTAATAATTTTTATAATAAATTAATGTAAAAATAAAAATATAATAATCACTTCATATTATTAAAAATAAAAAATAAATTGAAACTAATTAGATAAGTATTAATAAAAAATTAGGTCAAAAATTAAAAAAAATTAAAAAAAATAAATTTATCAATAAAATTAAAAAATTTTAATCTCTTAACGATTTAATACAAAAAGTTATCTTAGATAACTTTTTCAGTTCACTAATAATTTGAACTATAATTATTATCCGATTGCCCTAAATTATTAAATAAAAAAATTTATCAAATACTTAATTTATATTAATTTTAAAATAAATAAATTTATCAAATTACTATTTTGATCCTTTGAAAAAAATCACCAACTACTACCTATGCTATACCAAACTCCCTTAAATCTAGTTAATTATCTTCAAATCCAAGAATAAACTTTTTAGAGAAGAAATGAAAGAAAGGCAGGGAGAGGGACCATGATCCAACACTTTTTACACATAAAAATATAAATAAGAATCTCAAGTCACCATCATACCCCTTTAATTTGATCCACTTTTACTCCTTTTTCTTCTCGCTTTTTCTCCCTTCTTAGCCTTCCCATGATATCTGCCACTTTTGACACCTAATTTGCATCATTCCCTGCCCCGCCTTCCACTTCATTTACTATAGAATTAAAGCACTTGGTTTTAGATTTACTTGTGTGAAGTCATGTTTAAGTGTTTTTTTTTTTAGGTAGCAATTTAAATTTGATTCTTTATAAAATTGTTTAAAAGAAAAATTTACTATATAATTAAAATCTCTAATTCCAAACATAATTGCATTGCGATGCGCATCTGAATCTGTGACAACTGTTTACACACCTCCTATGTTAAGTAAAAAACTTCGTCACTCAAAAAATAGAATCCTAAGTTTCCTTTATAAACATTTGGTTATGTATTGAAGTTATTCTAAGCTTGACCCATTTAGCAAGTAGTTTAATAATAAATATCCTTCTAATAAATAAATAAATAAAAATTAACTTTTAAATATGTTAAACTATTTGAGTGAATTTATTATCATATATATTTTAAATAGTTAATATTATATTTTTTTAATATAATTATTTATTATATCTTTATATTATCTTTTTCAAAAGTTCACATTTTTTTATTTTTTAATAAATTAAAAAATATAATAATCAATTAAAATAAAAATATTAATAATTGAGAATGTAACAATAATATCACTCAAATCATTTTTACTCCGAATGTATGCTTTACTTAAAATGAATAAAAACCCCTATTTTTTTTTTCCCCGCCTCCATGTTTCCCTGCGTTCGAAAAAAAAAAAGGGGAAAATTATTTGATGTTGTAGTAATAATTTTCCTATTAAATAAAAATAGTCTAAGCATAGACCCACAATAATAAAAAGGAACGTAATAATAAATTAACAAATTAGCAATCCATTAGAGCGTCTGTCTGCCAGTGTCATTGCCTGTGGGGCCCACACGAGTGGCCCCACAGGTTTATTCACATTGGATGGTGGTGGGCCACTACCTGCGCGTGATGAAGCCCAACATCAATGAAATTGGACCCCCCCTCCCCCCTCCATGGCACTTTTGTTCACATGGACTGGTTTGGTCTAGAGCAAAAGTATTTTTGAAGCCAGATTAAGATACACATTAACTGATTATTGCAGCATTCTTTGCTTCTTTTGCAACAACAAATTTCCACAGTATCCTTACTTAGTTCCCATCTCATTTCTTCTCTCTAAAAAACAAGAACAAAGTGGCAACCAGCATCCATGGCTGCCAACAAATTTGCTACCATGTTGCACAAAAACACCCACAAAATCATTGTAATTCTGGTCTATGCAGTGCTTGAGTGGATCCTGATTGTGCTCCTCCTACTCAACTCTTTGTTCGGTTACTGCATCACAAAGTTTGCCAAGTACTTTGGTCTTAAACCTCCCTGTCCATTGTGTACCAGAGTTGATCATGTCTTGGAGCCTGGGAGGGACACAAACTCCTACAGGGATCTTATTTGTGATGCACATGCCACTGAGGTGTCTAAACTGAGTTTCTGCTCAAATCATGGAAAACTGGCAGAATCACATCTTATGTGTGAAGACTGCTTTGCTTCTCGGCCAAATCAGAATGATGAGTCCATTGAAACAAGGAAGGTTGCTTTCATTACATGGGTGAGTACAGATAAGGTTGACAATGGTGATGGTGAGGTTCTTTCTTGTTGTTCTTGCTGCAAGAGAAGCATGGCTGGAAAACTCTGTCCTCCTTACATGTTGATCAAGCCTTCATGGGATATTTTGAATTCTGCACATAAAGGAAGTTTGATTCTAGAATCAGTAGACTATGACACAAATGGAAGTGATCAGTGTAGGGAGCCAAGCAACCTTTGTAGCAGTGAAGATCAAGCTGAGGATATGGTTGAGATGAAAATAAACAATGATGATAATGACAATACAGGCAGTCAAGGGGCTACAGACCAGCATCACATGCTTTCTAGCATTGGAAGTTTTGGAGATGCTCTGGAATGCTCCAGTTCTATGGTAAGCTTGCAATGTGATGAAAAGGAAGCATATAAAGATGTCAAATCAGGCAATTTTAACATCTCAAAGCAACATTCAAGAGTTGCCTCTTTCGATTATAATACCATTCAGTGTGGTTTTGGAGAAGCAGATCTGCTTGAGCACATCAACCTTAGTGCCTGCAAATGTAAATGTGATCGCCTACTTCCTGCTGAGTTAATTGATTTATCAACTAATGCTACCCAAGGATCCTGCAGCACAGAAGAGCAAGATCATCAAATTGAAACAATTGATTCTCCCCTGCAGATTGTGACACAGACTGATTTATCAAAGGAAGCAGCATTGCATTTCATGGATGAGAGTACAGAGAAGGCCAGTCATGGAGATGCAGAATGCCTGGATATAGGAACAGGTGAAAGTAAGCATGAATCAGTTCTAAATGCCAAGAAACTTAATTTAGTTGATGAGGCCATTGAAAACCTTATTGATATGCAAGAAGCTAGGTATGGAGATTATACAGAAGCCTCAGTCATGGAAGCACCATTTGATCCTCCAGGTATGATGAATTTGTTACTTATTTTGAATTACCTACTAAATTTGTCACTTTAACCATATTTATCTTCTATAGTTGTAACATCAGTCACAATCTTCATTTCATTGATTTAAAGCAGCTAATCAAGAAGAGGAAAATGGCTTCCGACTGTTGGTTGAGCAAATAGAACCCAAGATTTTGATTGGCTCAGAGGAGTCTGAACATGCAGCTAATCTGCCTCAAGCTAAAGAGCCAGTTCCTCCAGCTCCGGTTTTGCAAGAAGATCAATCTACCATCACTGAAAATGTTGTTAAGAATGATAATGTCCCTGAATCAGACACAACTAAAAGTAACCTTGGTAAGGATCTGATCTTTATCTTCTCTTCAAAGGTCAAGATTTCCTATTATGAACAATAGATCATATCATGTAGCATTGCCATTGGTTCTAAAGCGTTTCCAGTTCTAACAGGTGCAAACCAAATGGAAAGAAACACCATGGAGAACAAAATCATTTCAAGTGATAAGAACCAAGAAGGGACAAGCAATTGCTTATCTGTGGATTTGGATCTTAATGAAGCAGAGTATGAAAAAGTGCCTGATATGCCACTTGAAAGCCTAAATCCCTTAGATAAGAAACTAGCACGTTTTGAAAAAAGAGAATCAGGTGCAGATGAGTCATTAGATGGGAGTGTGACAAGCGAGACTGAAATTAGAGATCCAGTAAAAACCATTGAACAGCTGAAAGCATCTCTAGAAGCAGAAAGGAAAGCTTTGAATGGATTATATGCAGAACTTGAGGAAGAGAGAAGTGCCTCTGCAATAGCTGCAAATCAGACAATGGCTATGATAACCAGGCTTCAGGAGGAGAAGGCAGCAATGCAAATGGAAGCATTACAATACCAGAGGATGATGGAAGAACAGTCTGAATACGACCAGGAAGCCTTACAACTTTTGAATGAGCTCATGGTCAAAAGAGAGAAGGAGAAGCAAGAACTTGAGAAAGAACTTGAAACATGTCGCAAGAAAATTTTGGATTTTGAAGCAAAGGAGAAGATGAGAATGAGGGGAAGCAAAGATGGAAGCGTGCAAAGTAAGTCTTCTGTGTCTTGCAGCAACATGGAGGATGGCGATGAGCTATCCATTGATCTTAATCGTGAAGCAAGGGATGAAGATGGCAGCTTCTACGGCCATGGGGAAAGCAGCAGCGACCATAACCCTGCTGAGGTAGTTCAGAGTCTGGAGGAAATGGCATTAGATTGTGTAAAGCATATAAGTGTCCTTGATGACTCATTGACAGAATATGAAGAAGAGAGGTTGTCCATTCTAGATCAGCTAAAGGTATTGGAGGAGAAGCTGCTAACAATAGCTGATAAAGAATTCATTGAGGATGTTAAAGCAATCCGACATTCATCAACATATGAGGTCAATTGTGATTCCAGCTGTAAAGAAGAAAATGAAGTTGCAGAAGAGAATTCCCAGGAGAGGGAAACAATGGTTTCCATGGCAAAGAATCTCCTTCCTCTTCTGGACGCAGCAGAAAATGAAACTGATGAAGAAATGTTACATGAGATACAATTAGAAGCAGAATCTTTTGAAATGCAAGAACATTCAACTTCAAAAGTTGACCTGGATAGCAATAGGATAGCAATAATAGAAGAGGTGGATCGTGTGTATGAGAGGCTACAAGCTCTCGAAGAAGACAGGGAATTTTTAAAGCATTGTGTCGGCTCAATAAAGAAAGGAGACAAGGGAATGGATCTTCTCCAAGAGATCTTGCAACATCTCCGAGACCTGAGAGCTGCAGAACTCCGTGCTAGTGATACAGCTGATTATCAGCAAGACTGAAGACACTCTGGAAAAAAGTGGAAGAATCTGACCAGGTAATTTAACATTTCTTTTTTCATTTGTACCATTGGTTTGTCCAAACTCTTTTTATAACTCAACTCAAATTGAACACAAGGATTTCATGATACCTCAGTTGTTCAAAATATTGACACAAATTAATTTCTTTTGTATGGTTCAGCAGGATCATTCCGCAGATGAAATGTTTTGAGAACTCATTCACAGTGAGCATGTTGTGCTAGAAGCCTGTAGAAACTTAATTTTTTTCTGCAAAAATGGGAATATCTCCAGATGGAGGGGGAGATTCCTCATCTGTTTCATTTTTTTTGTAATTAATCAGTGAGGTGAATATTGAAAGCCTTAAGTCTGTCCAAAGTTCTAAGCTCTCTTGCAGGCTTGCAAGAAAGTGTAAAGTCCCAGATCTTGCAGGTGTCTTCCTTAAGTGCCTTTTAAAAGAAAAGGTGCACTACCGAGGAGACTGTCAGGTTTGAGCATGTAGGTTAGGTGAGATGAGACATAATTTGGTCTCTGCTTTATTTTTTTTCCTAAAACTTGTTTTGCATTTCTCATTTCTTTACTGGGTTGGGAAGGATGGTTTGTAATGGAAGGAGGGTTCATAACTCTTTCTCCTTGTCTTTGCTTTGCATCCATGTAATGAAATTTCAGCATTTTGAAGCACATAAACTCAATCCACCTGTTGTTTCTATTCTTCTGTGTTGTTGGATTGATTTTTTTTTCTTGATCTAGACTATCCCTTGTAACTGTATGTTAATAGCTTCTCATACTAAATAGCAAGTTTTGCTTCAATATTTGCTACTACTTTTTGCAACTAAGACGTTTTAGGCTGAAGCCCACCGCCTAAATACAGAACCATTACGCAATCTAGTCAAACTTGTTATGTTTTCAATAAATAACATTGGAAAAATAGAAAACATGAAGTCCAGAAACCCAGAAACATTTCATAACATGGTTTCTCTTCAGTGAACTCCTCAACAATAAAGTCATCATATAAAGAACAGAAGAACCACGAGAAGCAAGTTTCCAGTGTTCTTGAGAAAGAAATGACCTATCTCGTGTAGATTTGTCCCCTTTGCCTCCTCAATGAAGAGATTTTGGGGTAATTTTATGAGGCATTACAATATCAAATTTTATGAGGGATTACAATACTAAATAAAGAAAATGATTGATAGAGAATTTTTTGTACAATATTTTCTGTATAATTTTATATCTTACTTAATAATTAACACTTTTTTTTTTTAACAAATTCGTTGGGACCGGATTCAAATGCACTTATACATAGTCTAACGTCACTGGAGCCAAAACCCAAGTGCTAATAATTAACACTTTTAACTTAATTAAAAGTAATATATATACATTAACTTATATAATATTAAGAAAAAATTATAAATAAAAATTATATAAATACATATATCATTATCCATCAAATATATGACGGTTTTTTCCACTTATAAGTTATAACGTGCCCAAGGACAATTTGTGGCTGGGTAAGAATATTTACAAGATTTTCAAAATTTATTAAAAATAAAAAGGATCTTTCAACAAAGTGTATGAGAGAAAAAGAAAAAGGAAAAAAAAATATCTTTTTGTATTCTTATATCCTATTGGCTTAACCCAAGCAAGCAAACAAAATGGAAAAAAAGGATAAGGGGCATCTTCTTCCATCAGAAAAGGAGTGTGTTCTTATTAACCATGGCTTTAAGACCAATCTTCACCTGCAACCTAAAACCCCATGACAGTACTCCCTCCCCTGAAATGCCTCCAAGGCTCATCCAACCCAGAAGAAGAGAATCAGTTCTGATGGCAACAGTGGCCTCCATTCTGTTGGCCAAGGAGACAACGTTCCATACACAAACAGCACATGGATTTGAGTTGAAAATGGCGGCACCAGAACAGACGCTTGAAGAGGCAGAGAGTGGAGTCAGAGAACATGCTCAAGCATTACTAGAGGTGAAGGATTTGATAGAGGCAGAGTCGTGGAGGGAGGCGCAGAAAGCACTGAGGAAAAGATCCTCATTCTTGAAACAAGACATCTACACTATAATCCAAGCCAAACCTGGAAATCAGAGACCACAGCTCAGGAAGCTTTATTCAGACCTTTTTAACAATGTTTCCAGAGTAAAATCAAAGCTTTATGTTTAGATATTGTTCTTCAAAATTGCTGCTTTATCTTCTGTATGTGTTTGAGGAATTTTTCATGCTGCAGCTGGATTACGCAGCCAGGGATGAAGATGCATCTGGAGTTTGGCAGTGTTATGAGAACATTGTCTTGGCCCTCAATGATATTTTATCCAGAATTTGATCATCTACACAAACGCAGCTGCAGCTTCAGTGCCGACAGTTTAGCTCAGTTAGACAGCTTACATTCTGCTGCAGGCCTCAATTCTATGTCATATTGAGACCATTTTCTGTGTAGTTAGAAATTGTCTGCATCAAACAGCTAAACAAAGGAACTCTTACATGATCTGTAATTTTCAGAAATACCATTTCAAAATGAAAAGAAGCTTCTTTTGGCAATGAGAGTATGAAGTTATAATGCTTGTGCTCACCTTACCCCTCAACATGGCTTATGGAAGAGGTTCATTTGTGCAGTTTCAGTTTCATTATCAGCAAGCATAAGCTTTTCAAGTAAGATACAGAAAGAACAAAATAAATAAATAAATAAATAAGAAGAAGAAACTATTCAAGCAGCCATCAAAGCTTTTTTTTATTTTATACTCTAATAATTCAAATATGGAATAGGCAACACTTGTTTATCTTTTCAACTACTGAGTGTAACAACCAAAAATCACAGATGATAGCCTAGACAACAAGCGGAGATGAACATTTCTATTTAATTCAACAGGAAATGCTAACAGTGAAGAACACAACAAAACTTTAGGAGTCAGACCAAGCTGGTTTTTGCCACCAGCAAGATGGGATGTTTGTTCAGTCTTGCATTTTTATGCTCATAGTGAATCACTTAGATCATCTGGAGTAGAATGAGCACATTATGCCACAAAAGCACCAGCTGTCATAAAAAACAACAAAAATCATAGTGAACCTGCTCCAGGAAAGAGTTCTGACATTTTGTTGAATACATCCATAACCTGAGATGGGAAATAAAACACTATATGTTAAGAGATAGATAAATTTACTTTTTAAGTAAACATGGAAGAGAAGTGAGAGAAAATGTCTACCATTGACCATGGTTGATGATGCTAAATAGATAGAAATTTCAAATTTATTTTTCAATACAGAAAACAGACCAAAAAATAGCAACTACGTCATTTATGTAATTGAAGCATAATGGATAAAGCATGAAAAAACTGAATTTCACAAGCAAAAAATGTAGCTATTTTCAATGATAGGAAATTATAAGGATTCTTTTCAGAAAAGAATACCCCAGAACAGAGAATTGAAAAGTAATGACAGGAAATTTTACTAAGAAAAAAAAAATACTTAGAGGTAAGATACTATACTAATGATCAACACATATCAAAAGGGTTAAAATAATAAATTCATAACTTATGAAAATTAAACGAGATATACCTCCTTGTCATTTTGATATTTTGTAATATTCAGCGGATTTTGGGAAACCTGCAAGAGCATCACGATGTTAACTTCTAATAAAATAGATCTATCTTAATACCTATGCATTAGCATTATGAGGCAGTCAAAAACTCCTCAAATAAATCACACAAGCATACATCCATGATGGCTTGTTGAACTCTAGGGTTTTGGAATGCCATGGCAATGTCGGGATTGGCCATAATTTTGGATATAACTTCTTCAGGCGTAATTCCAATCTGATCTGCAAGGGTGAAAAGGGCAAAAAGGGTAACAAGGAGGAAGAATTAATAAAGGAATGGAGCCACGAATTTCAGGAGATATAAGGTTTAGAGAACAACCTGATAAACAAGAATCTGCATTAAAGATTTACTTAATCTTAGACAGAAACATAATTTTTACCATTGATAAATGCCTACACAAAATTAGTATAGAAAGCCACAAATACCACTTAACAACTAACTATGGCATCAATCCTTCACCAATTATTTCAACCTGGTAGATGATATGTTTTTCTATTTTGAAAATTTAAGGCATTTTGCTTGGTACATGGAGGACCAACATTTCAACTAACACGTTTTTTCTTTTTTTTTTGATAAACATTACAACTAACACTTTTAGAAACAAATGATACTCCAAGAAACTTGCATTCAAACATTCAAAAGTCAAGATTTTCAAGAATCCCTTTAAGAAAGCTAAGAGAGGAAAAAAGACAATAGGGTGCATGACCAGTGGACTCAATAAACAAATCAAAAACAATTAAACTTAAATGTAAACATGAAACCCACTTGCAAAGAAAACATGGAATTCCAATCATTTACATCAGACTACAAGCATTTAAATTTTGAAACAATTTTATAGAAGTTTGGACTTACTAAATTCCTGTTTAACCTCATCAAAGTTTTTGAAGGACTCCATCATCCTATTGTCCAATGCAGCACTTCCACCCATGCTATTTCTGAAAATTGTGGTCAAATGATACAGAAAAGAATTTAGATTCCCAGGAAACTGTCAAGTTCTACCTAACATGAAACTATCAATTGCAATCTCTCACCCATACAATGAGAAAAAAAGGATTCATACCAACAACAATGCACATCAAGCTAGAAAGTTATGTCTGCAAATCAGAATGCTTAACTTTCAAATTACCAGAAGTTAGAATGCATAGCATGCCATCAAGAACACTGGCAGAGTAAGTTCTAATTTGCTCATGAATGATGCATACAAATTTGCAAACGAATGAACTTTTTCTTCGTTTAAAAACTATACACATCATCAACTGAAATAATGACAATCAAGGATGATGAGAAAGGGCAAAGAGATTTCAGCACCCTATGAATTACATACATAAAGATGGGATAAAAGTCAGAACAAATGGAAAAAAATTACAAATGGTATCCACATAAATTGACAGCCAAATTACTCTTCACCTTCTATCAAACCAAAAAGAATCCCAATAAGTATTTCATAAACATTTTAAGATTTTGAATTGAGATAGCGGGCAGATAGCATCCACGAAATGACAATGAACAAGAATGAAAAGTATATACAATAATTTCAATGGAACAATGCTCAAAACATTGTACACCAAGAAAACAAGCAGCTGGTCTAGGGGAAAAAAAATCAAATTCAAAGAATTTAGGATGAACTTACATCATGTCTTGGAGTTGTTGACGGTACTGAGGATTTTGTAACATCCCTATTAAAATATGCATAACAGCCAAAATAAATCTACATGTTAGACAAAGTGCATGTTAAAACAAGTCTTTAATAAAGAAGAATAAGACAATGTTAAAAAAGAAAGAGATGGAGAGAAGCAAAGGAAAGAAGAAAGAAACATAAGCATTCAAACTTACACTTGAAGGTCTCAGGATTCCTCATTTCCTCTGGCAAATATCTGTAGATAGAAAAAGACAGACAAAGCAAAGTAATTGATTCAGTTTACACATATTCAGCACTCTCTTTTTGAAGAAAAATGCACATAAGGAATTAGAAAATGCATATTAATACTAGAATGAGCTATATTACGGATAAACCATCTTTTGCACTGTTGGATCTTCCATCATTTTCTCCAAAGCTTCTACTGGTAAGACTGAACCCAGTTTCGCTGACCATATAATAAAAGCATACATAAGATATTGCATTAAGTCAAGAGAGAGAGACTGACATATAAGAGAGACAAGAAATATTTTGCATCTATACTACCAATTATACCACAAATCTTCTAAATGGGAATAGTTAATCCATTTATTTAAGGGAAATTTAAGCTATTCACAAATAAGTAAGTGACAAATATAATTTGAATTTCAAGACCACTTGATGACTTCAAAGTAGTCGCAATAAACTACATTAACATGCTACATTCATAATTTAAAATTTAGATGACTAAATCTTAACTGCTAGTTTGCATCTCTATAAATTATTACAAAACATTGGGACTGTGAAAAAAAAAAAAGAATCAAGCACTAGAATGAAAGGGACTACAACCCGTTAAAGAAACTGTTTACTTACATGTTGACTGAAAACCCCCAGAAGCACCTAGGTCCTGCTTAGCAGCAGCTCCACCATCAGAAACCTTCATATAATGTGCCATGTTTAAATAATTAAATCTTCACTAAAAAATAAAATATCAAGGAAATAAATCTACACCACAACAGCCCCAATCAGAAGCTCAACGGCAAACACTTACATCCTTTGGTGAACTTGTTTCAGTCACATCTTCCAAGTTTTCAAAGGGGCTTTTTCCCATTGTTTCTTCAGGAGAAACATCTATAAAAGCTGTAAATAGAACTTGCATTAACTCTTGCTTAGATCAGCATACAAAAATTGTCAATTGGAATGAACTTGATCACCTGTTTAGATCACAGAAGGTGATCATCCATGGAGAATAACAAACTAAATGGATAGCTTAGGTCAGTGTTATACTTTGACGTAAACATCTCTTGTTACTATTAGAAATTGATGCCAAAATAGTTGTATCAAACAAGGTAAAATTATTTTATTTTTCCCAACTATAGATAGTAATTGGCTTTGGAATGTTTCTCACGATTTGAATGCAAAAAAGCCTACCGTGTTTTTTCAAAGATGGAAAATTATTCAAATGAAACTTAGATTAACCAGAACTGGACACATTTTTTAATACCCATTTCTTCAAATGAGGATCAAAGAATGCTTAAAACAAGGTATAAAACTCTGCCACTTCAACATCAGAACTGGAATCATTCTTTTGTGCAAATTAACAGACTTATACAAATGTCAAATGAAATTCTTTACTTCCAAACATGAAACTAAAGTGTTTCAAGTTCATGAAACTCTTAGGAAACCCTGCTGCATTGATTTGAAACAAAATGAGTTGCTAGTCAAACATAAAAATAAGCAATAATCATTCACTTGATAAGTAAAACTGAAGCAATATCTTTTTTAAAGCATAACAGAAATAACACTTTACAAGATAACCAACGGTACATTTTACATGGTAGGAATAGAACACAACAGGAACATCCAATAACAAGTCATACAATGGTAAAGGTTTCTTACCTGGTTTCTTTGGCTCCCTAATTTCTTTTTCCTGTTTTACTTCAATCTGCGTATCAGTTTCTGGAGCTGCTTCTACTTTTGTTGCAGGTACATCAACAGTAACTGCTGGCTGTGGAGGAGCAGGAGGTGGTGATTTAGCAGGCCCTGTTGCTGGGGGCATTGGATATAGAAATGGTGATCCCGAAGGAAAGGAAACATTACTGAACTGGTTATTTTGAGTGTTCATCGGGCCCATCATATTCTTGAAAGCTTGCTGCATTGCATTTTTCTGAAAGATTGAAAATAAAAATAAGATAGTACAGACTAGAAGTATATGGACTCTGGATCAATAATTATGAGCCATGAAACAGCAGGCTGATCCAACAGCTGCTTTGGGACAAAATTCCCTCACTCATGTGGAATTCCAAGCTCAAATCCCTTGAAGAGAAATAGGTGAGGCTTCTGAGTTCTATTAAACATCAGGCTAAGACAGCCCCACCTTGTGAGAGAGAAGCACTCACCTGTAACCTTGAAGCTACCTGCAAGTTCAAAAATTTAGTTAAAACCATACCCAAAAAAAACCTCTTTCATTGAGTACAAGTAGAAATCCCTGCACTTACCCAAGAGTACAACACCGAAGCCCCAACACCTACTGCAATCCAAAATAGCGGTGACCCTCTACAGAATAATTCAAAAGGAAGAATGATTATCAGCTATTAAAAATTTTACCCATTTTCAAAAATAAAATTAAAATAAAGCCATAAAAGAGCTCAATTGAATTACATTTGTGATGGGGGCGGCGGCGGAGGCGATAGATTTGGGTTAACGCCAACTGAAGATGTTTGCTGATTACTCGAAGAAGAAGAAACACTGGCAAAACGATCAGCTCCAGACTTTCTCAGCACTGCATTGAAATGGAAATTATAACAACCAGAAAATCATTGGAATTGCAATAACAATTAATAAAACAAAAACTGATAACCAAATTACCGTTGTGGGGAATTCTGCGTGAAGCACCATTGAAGTGGGCGGAGACAGAAATTCTGGAAGCACGAGGAGCAACACTTGAATTCCGAAAGGGGAAAGGAGTGCCAAAGGAAAAGATTCTGGGTCTGGTGAGTTCTCTGGCGGAGGTTAACAGAGACGAATTTTGATTGAAATCCAGTAAAAACTTTGGATGTGAAGATACTAAAGCCATATTCAGATTTTTTTCCATGTGCAAAACCCGAAAAGGAACAACTAGAAAGCTGTATCAGTGTCGGAGCCGGAGGAGCTCCTGGAGAAGGAAGGGAACGGTTGTGTCAGTGAGTTGGAGAGAGGAAGCAGGAGACCTTATTTTCTCCGACTGGAAACCGTTTGTATACCATGCCGTACCGTTCGGTTCGACTGAATTTAGTATTATTATTATTATAATTTATTACATTTACCATAATTTATATATAACGAATGTAATGAATATATTTTTTATAATTAATTTATATAAAAATTATAAAAATTAAGGTATATTTAAAATTAAATGAATGTAATAAATACATTTTTTATAATTAATTTAAATAAAAATTATAAAAAGTTAAGGTTTATTTAAAATCACACATTTATTTTTTATTATAAATTAATTATAAAAAATGTATTAATTGCATAAAAAATTTACATTTATTTTGTATAACTTTATTTTTGAATGATTCTTGAATTAGCATTTTAACTTATCTTGTCTCCTAAATTTAGCCGTTGTACTTATTAGCATCTGTCCTTGGGGAAGGGAACAAAAAAATCCTTAGGACTCAAACCTTCATTTTCAAAATTCACGCCGTCTATGTAAGATTTAATTTGGTCCTCTAATATAAATGGTCATGAGATTATCAATCTTTTCACATTTAAAAATATGCCTAACTTACATAACCCCTTTAAATATATATATATATATATATATTGTTAACAATAACTCATGTAGTAGTTATGGCCACCAAAAGATCATTTATTGTAAATTGTTTACCATTTATACATACCAAATTAAACTGTCTTTGTAAGTGTTGTATATAATCTAAAGAAACTAATTAAAACCCTCACCAAAAAATAATAATTAAGTGAATCTTTCGGTAAATTTTAGCTTTAATTAATGGATAATGATAGAGCGGACGATTTTTGTGAAATAAAAGTGAAGAATCATCTACGTGGTAAGCCTAAATTAGTCATTTAAGTTGATTTATGTAGCGAATGAGTTATGTGCCTGCTACGTAACAAGTTACGTAAATCATCCTTTAAAATCTTCCATAAAAAATCGTCTCCCGAATCATTGTCCTTAATTAATTAATTGGTAATGATGCTAACACTCCTCATGACATTTGTGTATCAAGAATGTTAACAATACATTTTTCTTTAACCAATCAATTTCAACTACTATCTCATATTAATAAATATATATTTCAATATTTGTTATATCTTACTTTTTAGTAAACAATAACATGTTCACATATCTATATTATAGTAATTCATTTTTTTAAGGTTTCATTATTAGTATATTATTACTACTAGTCTCAAATTAATTCCAAAAATAATTATTATTGTAGTAATTTTCTTTATTTATTTCTTACTATTAAACCAATTTTCCTTTATTAAATTTGAAGAAATTTGAGAAATGTAAAATAAATAATATATATTAAAAAATATATAAATCCCGACTTATAAAAAAAATTAAAGTTTTACTTTTAAATTATATCTTTTTATTTAATTAAAACTTAATTTAAAATTTAGAAATTTATTTTATTAAATATTAATATTTAAATTTAAAAACTAATTAAATTTAAATTTAAATTTATAAATATAAATTAAAATTCTAAAATTATTTTAAAAATGAAAAACTAATTTGCACTAACTTCTTTTTTTCAATTAAATAAAAAGCATATTATTTCATTAAAATCATACCGCATTTACATAAAAAATTTCGATCTCATTCATAAAAAGAAATTATAATAAAATAAAATACAATTAAAAAGAATAAAAAGCAAATCAAATTTAATACAAGACATATAAAAAAAAAAAAGTGAGCATTTCACAACAACAACCAAAATAGATTTTTACATATTCACACTACCTTCTTAAAAAAAAAATAATAATAATAACATCATTAATGCTCAAATGACAGGAATGTCCATCATATCGGGTCCAACTTCGTAGAACGTAGAAACCGCGTCGTCGGCTTCGATTCCTTTATATATAAGGCGAAAATTACTTCTTCCTGTATTCACACCGCTCTCTCCTAGAAAACCCCATCTCCTAAGAAACCCTAAAAACCCACAACAAAGCAGATACTTCTCCAGTGAAGATCTTCACTCCAGGAGAACCCTAATTCTCAGTCTTTCGCCGTCCTCTTCTTCCTCTCCTCCTTGTTTTGTCTTCCAGGTATTTCTCTCTTCTAAGTTTGTCACAGCCTAAGATTTAGTTTTTGAATCGTAAACCCTAGATTTGATCTGGGAAATTGTTTATGAGTTCCGGGGGTTTTTTTTTTTTTTTTTCGTTTTTCTAGGTTTTGACTGTGAGTGATTTAGGGTTTTCTTGATGAATACATGTCTGATCTGTTATTTTGAATTGTTAATCAATTTTTTTTGCTATGAATACTTTATTTTTTCTTTGTTATTGTTTAAATTAGTTCATAGATCTAAGCTATTTGAGTTGAAATAATATGCTTATATATTATTTCATGTTTTTTTGTAATTTTAGATGGAAAATATAAGTTGATTAGCAGTTTAGCGTTAGGGTGTTGTTTGGTACGGCCTGGCTAGCGGCATTGATTGATGATTTTGGTAATTTGGAGGCTTTTTGTTTATAATTTGCACTGTAGATTAAGGAAATAATGGTGTCATGAAATATAGATTGCGTGGAACTCATGTACATATTTGGTAGGTTGATTCTCAATCAGGGTAAATTACTTTGAAGATTTATCTTAATTTCATTCTTAGCTTGAATTAATTTCCTTCAATTCTAGCTATCTTAATAGCGTTGGGCGTGTAATGTTTAATTGGCAGTGTAGATATGGTAGGTAGTTTTAATTTTTATTTTTATTCTGACATCATTAACGTTCCTCTGGCCCCTGTTTTGCAGGTACAATCTGTTACCATATTCTGTTAGAAGGATTTTACCCGCTGCAAGTGCAACTACAATGGCTACCCCTCTAGATATGACCCTTGATGATATGGTGAAGAGAAATAAGAGCAGGAGAGCAAGAGGACGAGGCAGGCCTCGCCGAGGCCGTGGAGCAGGTGGATTTTTTAGTGGAGGTCCTGGAGGAAGAGTGACGGGGCCTGTTCGTGGAGGCCCTCTTGCGGTGAATGCTCGGCCATCACAGTATGGAATTGCCAAGGCAAGCTCAAAACTGTGGATGTCATGTTCATTCTGATAAAGCTTAAGAAAACAAAAAGAAGATCATTATCCTGCTTTAGAAAAACAAAAACAGAGGATCTGTGACGTAATTTTGTCCATTGAGAAGTTCATTTTCGCTCAGATACTAAAGCATAATCTCTGATTGTCACGTTTATGCCTTGATCTTCATGATTTAAAAGTTTTTGTGGGTTACTGGGTTATACTCTTGGGACTTTGCTACAGATCCTGCATATATATGTCGAAGTTTTTGGTGTGGCATTAAGATGCACTGCTGCATTCTGGCATTCAATGCAGAGGAGCTTCATTAATTATTTTGATATGGAGCTCTGATGAGTAGCATAACACGCCTTTAAGCATTAGCGGTGCTATCAATACATAATCCATACTAAGTTGCAATCAATCAATTTAATGTTTGCTGGCTGGTTGCTTAGTCGGGGAGTGATGACAGATCTGTGGATCCTCCTGCTATGCATGGGATTTCTTTGGTACAAGTACTCAGTTTCTATTATTGTTCATTGGCTAACTGGAAAGGATCTTCCTTCAGTAACTTCAGAACTGGAGCTCTCACTTATAGCATAGCCACGGTTTAAATGCAGTGGGTCAAATCCTTAACTCCCATCTCTGTTCCAGTTGCTGCATTACCGATGTTTGATTATTGGGTTGCTTGAGCATTTCACTAAACTTGGTTCTGCTTCTACCAGTGTCTTTTAATTTTCCAATGGAATTAGCTGATCTTTGATAGTGGTGATCTTGTTATCTAGATATGAGCTGACATGTTATATTTGCTTTCATTAGCCTACCCGAAGACGCAGGGGCATGCCATGGCAGCATGATTTGTTTGAAGATAGTCTTAGAGCAGCTGGGATATCAGGAATAGAAGTTGGCACAAAGTTGTATGTTTCCAACTTGGACCAGGGAGTTTCAAATGAAGATATAAGGGTACGGTGTGGTCCATATGTTTTAATTTAATGTTCTTCTTGTGATAGATCTCTGAAGAAATTCTTGAAACTTGATGTGCAATTTAGGAACTCTTCTCTGAGATTGGGGTGCTGAAAAGATATGCTGTGCATTTTGATAACAATGGTCATCCAAGTGTAAGTTGCCTTGCTCGGTACCAATAGTTTATCGTTTCGCTTTTGGAGCTGGTTGTTATGTGTTTTCACTTGACATGGTTTAGTTTCTTATTGTCTATAAGGTGCATATGGTAACTGTAGTTTATAGTAGTAACTTGATTTTTACTGAACCCGTGCTACCCCGCTGATTAGATTTTCTAAGTCATGAATTAATTTGTTTGATGGCTATTCAGTATAGTTGAAAATAACTCTATTTTGTCTTAAAACACTCTAGCAACTTTATGTTGGAAAAGGCATTACTCTCTTGACATTTATAATGCATTAGTTATTCAAGCTTGGTTGTAAGTTTGCTGTTCATTCTCTCCCATTTGGAAAGTAATTGAGAGTTAATTGATGTTGTTCATCTGATTGTGGTTGCATGCATATTTGTGAGTGGTTTTGATGAGTACCTGCTGGCCGCTAGCTCTTTCTGTTTCTATCTAAATGTTGAAAGTTTCTTTGTTAAACAAATGTAGGCTTGACTGGAAAATTTTAATCCTTGTTGCACTATTTTTGCAGTTTGGATTTCTTTATATTTTTACTATTTCTTCACTTCTTCCCTTGTATACTTCTTGACATATCTTTTTGCTTCTAACTTCAGCTACAAAAGTAGGCTCAATTTCCTGAATGCTGTAAATTGAAATGCAAAATTAACCTTAGACAGATTTGCTCCTTTCTCTGTCCTCTCATACATCCTCTTCCCACCCCCATTCCACTTCATGATTTGTTTGTAGTGAGCAACTTTTGTCTTAACTTGATTCAGTTATTATAATTTTTTGCATATATATATTTCCTTTGTTACTATCTGCTAATGGTTTTTTAATTGGGTTACAGGGTTCTGCTGAAGTTGTATATCTCAGGAGGAGTGATGCATTTGCTGCACTTAAACGGTATAACAACGTACTCTTGGATGGAAAGCCTATGAAGATTGAAGTTGTTGGTGCAAATGTTGAAGCTCCTATTTCAGCTCGTGTCAATGTTACTGGAGTAAATGGAAGGAAGAAAAGGACAGTTGTTATGAGGTGTGTAGCTTTATTTTTCTTGTTATTAACTAAAAATTTTAATACATTTGGAGCATTTTATTTGCTTAGGCCCCTTTCATTTAGGCAATCTGCATGTTGGACCTGATGTTTTAAATTAAATCTGTTATTTAACAATTTTCTTTTAAATTCATTGTCACAAAACTTACTAATTCTTGAATCTCATGTAGACCCGGTCCTGATCAGCCTAGAACAACCTCTGGAACTCAGCGTGGTCCTGTGTAAGTTGCCAAGAAAACTGCTTGCTCATGCACATTTTTTTTACTTAATATCCTCCTATAGGCATAGCTTATGGATGGTGTGAAAGATATATCCTAATTTTGGGAAGATTTATACATAATAAAAATATATTATCATTTTGCATCTGTTTATAAGAATATTTTTAAGTTTGCCAGCCTAATGTGGATTGAGTGAGGGCCTTCTATGAGAACATTTTGCATTATATTTGTTCATTCAACTTCACTGAAATTATAATTGTTGTTTTCCATGAGTTTGGCTGAATGGATGCATGATCAGCTAACATGTCTGCAATATTGGGCTGGACCTTGTTCATGTGACTTGTTGACCTTTTTAGGGCTTTTTAATTTTTTTGGATGTAAATGGTTGAAAACGCTGCCATCAATTGAAATGAGCTATTACTGAACTTGACATTAGATGATATATGTATTTCAACGAAAAAAAAAATGATATTTATGGACATCTTTATTCGTATTAATGTTTGGGTTACCTTGATGTTCTTGCAGTCAAAATCCCCGTGGAGGTGGTGGAATGAGGAATAACCGTGGGCGTGGGCGTGGTCGTGGTAGAGGGGGCCGTGGTGGTTACGGGAAGAAGAAACCCGTTGACAAGTCCGCTGATGATCTTGACAAGGAACTGGAGAACTATCATGCTGAAGCGATGAATGTTTCCTGAAAGTTAAATACATTTCTAGCCGGAGCATATTAGGTTCAAGTGTAATGGTAGCTGTACAAAGGGTGGAAGCGGTGGTGCTATTAGCTTCGTCAATTTGTTACTTGCTTTGCTGCTTGAGTTGGTGTTTTTTTGCACTTGATAGATAGTTGTATGCAAGTTTCAGTTTAAACGGATCTGGTGGATGTTTTTAGAACCTGGTATATTGTTACATATTCTACTTATATTATCAGCAAGTTCTTCTATTGAAATGTTCTTGTTCCATACTTTCCTATAAAAAGTTCTCGTCTTTATTTCAATTCCCAACACGATAATTGCTATGAACAAGAACAAACAAACTGGACAAACCTCGAGGGGTCTAATAAATTTGACCCTATAGGCATACGCAATACGAATCGGAACAGCAGAAAATGGACAACCATGAAAAATACGAGAGGGGGCCAAAGAAGTCTTCATTTAGCGAGTTCGCCTGGACCCCTGTGACGTTCCTACATTTCATGGACCGGTTGCACTTAAGCAATTTGTAGTATGAGAGTTCTACAATCCAAAATAAGGGTACTCGATCGGGCAATGTAGAGGAATTGGAGCATTAGAAAGAAGTAGAACTTGAGATTTTGAGCAGTCAGCGGAGACAAAACATCCGCATTCTAAGAATGAAAAATGATTTTAAGATAATTTTTTATATAATTTTATGTGTTATTTAAATTATTAATTTAAAATTTATAATATTAAATATATCATTTATTTAATAATATAAAAAAATATTTCAAATTACATAATACTAACCATTAAATAGAGTTAGAACCTTGATACGAGTGACCTCTCTACTCAATGATTTATGTTTTATAACGCAACAAAATTTAAATTATAAAATAAAATTCTTAAAATATAATCATTATTTAAAAATATTACATAATTTAAATTATAGTCAATTATATAATTATAACTATTGTCTCGAAAATGTCATTTCTAGTCGCGTGGCAAATAAGATTACGAAGATATGCCGCTCACTTTACTCACAGTGAGAAAAGAGGGATTCTTGGTGACCCTTACTATTTCTAAGTGTGAAACTCGACTGCAAGGCAATGGAAAAACACCGGTTAAATAAATTATAATATGCACTATGGTCAGACGATTGTTGCAGAAACGAGAGTGCATTCTTGCATAAAAGTCCATAAATAATTACTTTGGAAAAACATCAAGGGCTTGCCACAACTGGGCCAAAATGTTAGTTTGCTTATTGAAATAAAAGAGAAAAATAAAGGAAAAGAGAAAAAAGAGAGCACATGACGAGAAAACTAAATTGCAAAGAGAAAATGTGATGTCATCGCGAAAGTATGGAAACGTAAAAAACGTAGAAAATGAAATAGAAGCTGAAGTGTAAAACTAAACTTAAAAGAAACTAAAAAGATGAATTTAGGACAAAATGCAGTAAATTGAATTGCAGAAACCTAAATACATCAAGTGAAAATATTTACAACGAAATAACAAAAATTAGAATTAAAACTAATGGCAGCATAGAGATAAAGACTTAACTAGAAAAGCTATTTAAGAAAATTAGATCTAAATTAAGACATTACTTGTAAAACTAAAATGTAGATAGCATTGGGTTAGTTGTGTGAGAGGTTGGTCTTTTCGCTTCATTTCTTCTCTGCATATTTATAACAATAAACATCCCTTGTCAGCATGTTTAGAGATCTGCGGCAGCATCTTCAAAAACCAACAGTAGCTTGATATCTGAAACAAACCAATTAACTATTGATGCTGTCGATTATTCTCTTGGAAGTTCACAACAAGTGAACGGCTTTACTGCCGTTGTAAAAATAACTATTGAACCTTATCTAAAAAGATTTACACTTATGAAATACATGCCAACATGGATGACACATGGCATCATTCTATTTTTTGTAAAAATGGGTGTAAATAATAACTATTAAAATAATAAACTCTATAATATTATAAATTATCCTATATTTATTTAATCATGTTATAAAATATAAAACCCTTATTATTTTGAAACAAATTTTAA